TGTATCTAGCCCACAGATGTATTTTGTTTGTCCCACAGTGCTGGCCCACACAAGGCTTTTAAGAAATTTTAATCAGGTTTGCCAAAGTTAAAAACCAAGAGATTTCTCATCAAAGCCTGGATTTCCAATTTTTCCTACCAAGTGGAGGATGTGGTAACATTTGCACACAGAAGAGGGTAGCTGGAACAAGCAGTGGCTGAGACCTGCAGATGGAGAAGTGCCCCGGGTTTCTCCCCTCGTCTATTTCACTGGGCTTCAGAGTTCGTGACCCTTGGTTTAAAGTCAGGCAGATGTAGACCGCAAAGCCAATCATTATTAGACTTTTCCCAAAAACATCCCCAATAGGAGACTCTTCAGCCAATATTAGGACAGCTGTGATCAAAGGTAAAGCAGAGGAGACCAAACTGATTTGAGAAATTAAAAAAAAAAACCCAGGAGTTGGGTCCATTTGGATTTCTGCTCTAAGATACTCATTGGTGGGGGGGGATACATTCACTTTTATTACTTCATTTATTCTCCCCAACAATCCTGCGAGGAAGGAATTATTCCCAGATAAACAAACAAAATGAGTGATGTTAAGTCAGTTATCTACTCAAAATTATTCAACCAGTAAGTTGTAAAACCAGATTTTGAACCCAGTTTTGTCCAGCTACAAACACTGTGCTTTAAGAATACTGAAAGAACCCTTTATAAAGCCACGAGGCTTGCTTCTGCCTCAGGGCCTTTGCATCTGCCGTTCCCGCTACTGGAAACCACTCTACCCAGATGGCAGACTCTTATTCTTTCACTTCATTTACTTCACCCTCACAGGGAAGTTTCCCTAGTCATTTGATTTAAAATAACCTAGGTGTGCACACACACGCACCCACCAGTTTCTCTCTAGACCCCTGCTACTCAAAGTGAGGTCCAGAGATCAGCAGCATCTGCAGCACCTGAGAAGTTAGAAACGCAGACTCTCAGGGCCTTCTGCAGACCTGCTGAATCAGAATCCTACATGTTCACAACATCCCAGGTGACGCGTACACGTTTAAAGCTTAAAAAGCACTGCTCTACTAGGAGCCCTGCCCAGTGGAAATAAAATGTGAGTCACCGTACATTTTCTAGGAGCCACACGAAAAAGGTAACAAGAAAGACTGTTTCCTGTCTCCCCTGCCCACCACTTAAATGTCAGTTTCAGGAGCACAAAGTACTTAGTCACCACTTTTATCCCCTGTCCTTACAACAGTTCTGGGTACATGGTAAATATTATTAAAATGTTGGTTAAATGTAAGAAGGAAGGGAAATATCTTGCTAGTATTTTGTGTGTGGTGGTGGGATACAAAGGAAGAAACCAAGAAACAAGCATCGTGAAATTGGACAGATGCGGTCAAGCTCAACCACTGACCAAATGAGCAACCCTGAGTAAGTCATTTGCACTCCAAGGGCCACCTGTAAAACACGAAGGCTGCTATGTCGCCCACAACCCTCATTATGATGCTCAAACATGAGAGGACGTCCACAAAGCACCCGGCTCCATAAAGAACAAGCATTCCCTAACTGCCAGTGTCTTTCTGGCATCCTCCCTCATTCTCCAGATACCCAGTGCAAACAGTGCTGCAGACCACCTTCCTGAGGGTAGCACAAGCATGACTATGGGAACCGTCTTCCTGAGTGATTTTCCCCTAGCCAATGGGAGGAGCATATTCACTGTTGGCAGTGCAGACCATTTGAAACCATGGAGGTTCCCTTCCCATCGCTCTGGGCCTGAGGTGTTTCCAAAGCCAAGGTCAGGGTTGCTGCACAGTCTGTAAGCCATGGGGGAGGTCACACCGCAAGGCAGCCCTGTCACTTGGATGAGTTCTGCCGTGGCCGCCAGGTCCCACCCCCTTGAAGAGTATAAGGTCTCTGCCCAGACAGCTTGGAGCAGCCTGTTCTGGAAGGTGCTTTGGGGCTTAGCCCTTTTATTTTACTGGTTTGGAGGGGTGAGGAGAGGAGGGTCAAGTCTACCCCCCCCCAACACTTATGAGTCATGGGCCTGGGTCAATCCACCAAAGGAGGCTTGCTTCTCCCATAGCTTTAACACTCCCATGCTAATCCATTAGTCTATCTTGCCCTGAAATCTGAGGCACGCGTTCCAATCTCAAATGTGTTTTTAAATCACATTAGATCAACAGCATAGGAGAAAGCAAAACCCGGATTTAGACAAGACTGGAGTGACACGGAGGAAAAAAAAAACTCCCAGGGCTGCTCCGCTGGGATAGGACGAAAGCCCAAACCAATGCTGCCGGGAGCTGCCCCCAAATTCTCGCTTCTCCCTCTGGCTGATAACAGCAAACCCCAGAAACACTTGCAGAATTAGGCTCTCGCAGAAGCACCTCAACAAGAAAAAGGGAAAGAAAACAAGGGGGGGAAAGAATCAAAACCTTTCATTCATCTGTGGCCCTCTCCTCTGGCGAGTAGAAGATTTTACATAGACTACTCCGCGGATGGGGAGGAAGTGTGGCCATTCAAGTACATTCAAGCACAGATGCCGCCATTTATAAGATGCAGTTGGAGCAGGGAAACGAGGAAAGCTTTCCTTTACTGGTTTGAACTGATGCCACCGTTTCCTTTTCTACAATATAATGAGGATGTCATCCCCTCTTCCTCCAGGAGAGAGAGACAGGAGCCTGAAGAGACAGAGCCTGTGAAAATCCCACAAATACCCTCAAAGCATTGGGGTCCCTCGTAAGGCTGGAGAGGTATCCAAGCAGCCCCAGCACACTCCCATCGGCCAAAGGGGTTTCTAGAAGTCTCAGCAGCCAGGCTTGGGTGGCTACTGACACCATCTGTGTTACACAGATTCTTCTCCAGCACTTGCAGTCAGCACCTATAAGCACTACAAGGATCTGCCGTGGGTGAGACACTGGGGTCAAGGATGGGGAGGCCACAGAGAAATCCCATGGTCCTGTTAAGTGAGGATCAAGGGAATCTGCCCACATGTCTTCAGTATAACAGTCCTGTGGATGGGTACTAAATATTCACACTCAGCCCCAAAGACCACATGAGGGACCGCCGGGAGTACCACAGAGCTAGGATAGAACCTTCCACAGCCCTATCACGCCTGTCTCCATGCCTCCTCTTCCCAGCCTCGGCATGAAAGAAGGTTAAGAAAATATGGCATCTCCTGTCCTCTCATTCAGAAAACTCTCCAGCCCCACCGATGGGACCTCCTGACACGCATTCATCCACGAACCCTTCATCAAACTTTAAGGCATCTGAATAAAACACTCCCTTCTCTATTTCCAGCTGCTACAAAGCAACCCGAACACATGTTGGAAAGATGTGATCTTTATGCCTCGCTCTCCCCCAGAAGCGTACTTGGCACTTCTCCCGAGATACACAGCTTTAAAATTAGAATTGAAAAAGCCACCGTTACCCTCGTAGGGCCAAGGCTACCTCACAGCAGAAACCAGAACATCCCCATAACCAACAGTTAAAGAACTGAAACCCTCCCAGACATCATACCCCTTCTCGATATTGTTGTTGTTGCATTAATCATCCTAACACCTTTTTAATTATAATCGCAAACTGGAAGCCATGGCTCGTGATGTTATAAATACTGATTTTTCCAGTTAAATTAGGCATTTGCTGTTTTATGTTTTGATAGGAAGGGGCTGTTTGAAGCCTCCTAAAATACTGCAATTAGATTTCGCCGTTGAAACAGACAAGACATTAACAGACACATTTGCTGTTTCAGTTTAATGTGGTGGAATGTTTATGCCTAAGTGTACTTCTCTCAAGCTTTGAAAGCATAAGGCATATTTTTTAAAGTGGAAGAAATCAATCACAATACACCCATTTATTATCTATTTCTTAAGTTAAGCTATTTCTAAAACTTTTCCCAGGCTGTAATTTAAACTTGGAAAGCACATCTCTTCAACAGGAAGGGAACTTGTCAGGAAACAATCCTCCTATTTTACCTATTGGCTCTGTTAAGATGATAACATCACTTGAACTGACAAAGCCTGTGTTTCTGTTTGACAATTGCAATTAATTACCAAGATGCAACAGAGATGGGGCCAGCCATCCAGATCTATTTTCCAGAGAGATCTAAAACGGAAGGAAGGGGGGGGAAGCAAAGGAGGTTTGTTTTTGGAATCTGCACCAGTATGGAGTTAAATGCTATGGCTGGCAAGAAAGCTGGATTATTAATTTATTTTACCTGCACCTAACTTTCTACTCCTCTCTTCTCCCTTTCTCCACCACGGGCAGAGGGTGGAAAAGGAGACAGGTGAACATTTCATAAGCCAGAAGCTCCAATCTGTAGGGAAGGAGGCACGGGTTAGAAAGGGCACGGGTGCAGTGCACAGAAACTCTTAGGGCACCAACTGTCATGTAGACACTGATGCTGCCAAGGCAGAACCAACCCAGGGTTCATTCAGCCAAGGGGGACAGAAAGTTCTGGAGATGGGGGGCATCCCCGGTCTTTACTAGAAAGCCAGAACTTGCCAGCATCATCTTTTTAACTGTTGCCTGTTCATTTTGCTCTAACCTGAAAATACTAAAGTTGGATTCCAGCCACGCAAATGCGTTTCAGGGCGATTTGGAGAGATTCCAGGGGATCTCAAAGCCCCTAGAGCCATCTAGCTACCCTGCTTCATTCCTCGGCGTCCCCAACGCAGAAGCCCAGAGCCCCGCCAGAGCCCGGGCTAGGAAACACCCCGCGGGCACGAAGGCTGGGGATTCCCAGGCTAGGAACTGGGCAGATTCAGAAGGCACCTCCCCGGATGAGGAGCCGGAGGCAGACAGAAGCAAGGCGACACCTCCACCCCTCGCCCTGAAATAAAGTGATCCTTGGCCAGAGTCCAGCCCTCTCCGCCGCTCCCCTCTGAGCGGCCCCGCCAAGGTTGGCAGAGCCCCGGTTGGGGCTTAAGGGCTCTCGGGACGGCGGCGCCTGGGTGTCCAAGGGCCCAGAAAGCGGCGGCTCGCGCCGGGTCTCCCGGTGCCTCCATCCCATCCCGCCAAGCCCCAGGTCCTACCTGTACCACTCCAGCCCCTTTTCGTAGTTCCTGTCGAAGAAGTGCGGCTCAACGCCCACCGCCCGCACGTCTGGGTGGACTCGGATCGCCTCCAGCAGCGCGCGGGTCCCTCCTTTCTTAACCCCGATGATAAGAGCCTGTGGCAGCTTCTTCTCCCCATAGTCCGGGGTGCTCGCGGCGCCGCCCCTCTCGCTGCTCCCGTTGGCCGCTCTCCGGCCTGCGAGCTCCTCGTCGGTGGTGCTGGACTCCTGCGCTTCCCTCTCCAGCAGTGCGCTCTGCGCGGTGATCATCTCGCCGGGGGCCAGCGGGGTCCGGAGCCAGGCGTCCCGGGCGCCCCCGCCGCCGCTCGCCAGCCCCCAGCCGTCGGCCCCGGGGGCGGCGGGCTGTTCGGGGGGCTCGGGCGGCTCCCCGCGGCTCGCGTTGTCCGGCGGCGGCGGCGCGGGCGGCTGCGAGGGGGCGCCGAGGCGCACGGGGGGAGGCGGCAGAGAGGGTGGCGGCGGGCTCGGTGGGGGCTCGGCGGCGGCGCCCGGCGGCTCCTGCAGCGCCAGGGGGAACTGCAGGGAGCCCGAGCCGCCCAGGAGGTTGTAGCACAGGTAGGTGACGGATAGGGACAAGGTGCACATAAAAAGCAGCTTGCGCGCCGGCGGCCCCTTAGCAGAGACGCCGGGCGGCGGCGGCGCGGCGAGAGGTGGAGGCGGAGGCGGAGGCGGAGGAGGTGCGGGCCACGGGGCCATCGCGGCTCCCGGCTCGCGGCGGCGGCGGCGGCGGCCCCCGGCGCTGCCCGGACATGGTTTCAGCCGCCGCCCCCGCCGCCGCCGCCGCCGCTGCCCAGCCGCCCCGGCTGCATGAAGCGACGCCGCTGCGCCCCCGGCCCTGGCCGCTGTCCCGCTGCGCCGGGGGGGAGCCCGGCCGCATGGCCCCCCTCCCCACTCTTCCCGTGGAGTCCGGGCGGCCCCCCACCACCCCCCTCAGCCTCTGTCAAGGGGACCGAGGGGGGCGCGCGGACCCGCCGGCTGCACCTGCTCCGTCTGCAGCGCCCCCGCTTCCCTGGCTCCGCCGCGGCTCCTGCTTCAGCCTCTGCCGCCGCCGCCGCGCGCTGTTGCAGCCCCGAGTTCCTTCCCCGCTGCTAACTTTCTGCCGGGAGAGCCGAGAGGCGCGGAGGGGAGGAGGAGGGGGCCGGGCGCGCGCCCCGCGCCGCCGAGGGAAGGGGAGTGCGCTTCGCGCGCGCCTGCGGAGGGGGGCGCGGAAGCGGAGGCGTGCGCTGGGGCTGGGACGCCCGGGAGAGCGGAGATCGTGCCCCCCCGCACTCGACACACACGCACTGGAGGCGGGCCCCGCCCAGCCCCGCGTGCTTCTCCTCCCCGGGGAGCCTGGGACGCTGCGCTCTCCATCCCTCTCCCGATACTTTTAGCGACACGGAGACCGACGCCAGCCGCCGGTGCCGCGCACCGGGGAGCTGAGGGCCGGAGGACGGCGAGCTGTCGCTTCCCCTTTTCCCCTGGGACTCCAGGCCAACTCGGCCCATCCCTGACCCGCCCTTCTCTCACCCTGGATATCCTCCTGCCGGGGGCCTGGGAATGATTTCTTCTCTGTAACTGTTTTCCCATCCAAACTTCCATCTTTCCAGCCTCCCCATCTTATCTTGGAGCTCCTGGTGGGTGGAGTTGTGACACAAGCCCCCAGGTATCCCAGCCCCAGAGCTTTTGCCTCTATCCCCGCCACTGGTAACTGCTTTCTGCTCCAAAAGAGGAGGCTGTCCCCTACCCGACACCCTTAACCACAGGTACACCTGCGCCCCTTGGGGGCATTGCCACTAAAGGAGTTCAGATTTCTCTGGACTGAAATAGACTGAGGCGATCATCGTTCTGAACACCTAATAAGCAGAGACAAGTTGGGTTGCAGGGTGTCTGTGCATCGATTCACTGAATTTTTTAAAGTATATTTTCTTTGCAGAGATTTCCATCCCTCACCTCCCTCTCCTGGGGGGAATGGTAAACATCAGAAGGCTCTGGAAGATTCAAAACTAGACACTGCTTCCCGTTGCGTTTTGCTCGGAGGTAGCGGGAATGGGAGGAAGAGGCAGAGTGATAAACTAAGGCACTCTAGCGAATTCTGCTTCCTGGGGACAGAGGCTGGCCCGGCACACCCCTCGGGCCAGGCTCCCCCAGGCTCTGGCTCCGGCGTGAGTCCTGTTTACCCTGCTAGCCACAGCTGGGTGGCTGGTGGGACGGCTTTCCCTGGGCAGGCTGATGTGGTTGGCATCTCCAGTTTTGTTTGATCACGTAATAGGAACAATAGTTGAGGAAAATGTATATAATGTCTAAATATTAACTAGATACCTAGTGCCAAAGAGGGGGAAAAATGTTAATCAAATAAGATGAAGAACACGGACTTTTCCTTGAGTGAACAAAAGCTCACTGCTGCTCTCAGCTGGACATGAGTTTCCTTCACTGCAGCTTTAGTTCAGATAAAGATTATTCCTTTATATTTTTTACGGTACACTGGAGACCTCTGAAATGCAGAGTCTGGTGTCCTGTAAATCATTCCCTGTAACTAGGGATGCTTTTTCAAACACCACACAACTGCATTACTGTAATGTTAATGGGATGAGGCCAACTGGAGCAGAAACACATGCTTGGCCCATCCCTCTTTCCACTGGGAGCCCAGTTCTGGGTGGTCAGCCAGGAGGTCCCAGTTGTAGCAAATCTTGCCACCGCCATGGCCCATCTTCCTTTCAACGCCCAGGTACCAGGACACCCGGCATCTGGCCCAGGGCTCTCTGTGCCTGGGGCCCACGTTTCTCCATGCACCCCCTCGACAATCCACATGAACCTGCTCTGTATCTAGCTTTACTACACGTGCACTTTTCCAATTTGGAAAGGTTTTGATCCAATGGCTTTAAAATTGAACCCAGAGATGACAAACGGAGAGCTGGGTGTGGCCAGCAGAGTGATATTAAGAAATTTAAACTGGTTGCAATATTTTAAGTTGAGGGCTTCCCCCCCCCACCTGCCCCCATAAAATCTGGGTATGAGATTTCTGTTGAAATAGCAGATTGTCCCCACACCTTTCTCTTACTTGCCTGGGCACTGCCAATGAGGAAACTTGCCAGCATCCCTTCTGCCTCTTGTCCCCAAATAGTCACACATGAGTAAGAGACTCTTGACAGAATAAAAGCCACTGGTGAAATGTTAGGTCTCATAACCGATGGGGAAGAGGTGGCCTGGGGGGAAGGAGTTCTGTAGACTTCTTACTTAGGCAGTTGCCTATTTTTTTCCCACTCCTGACCCAGGCTTTTTCTGGGAGCAAATTTTTGAGAAACATATAATGAAAAGTAGGAGCCACCTACATAGGGAGAACTCAGACTTCATTCAGCTATTCCCAATGGGTCTGGAGACTGGAAAGAATTTTTTTTTTCTGTTTCCACTGCCAACACCCATGCTCATTCAGGCTTGTCAGAGTTTTTACAATATTCCTCCAGCTGGTCTCCAGGTCTGCGGGGTGCCTCATTTCCAAACATCCCAGACACTAATAGCAGATCAATCAATCAATCAATCATAGCTCTGCTAATGCCCTCTGTGGCTCAAAACCTCTCTCTCACTGCCTAACCAATAAACTCAAACCTCTTTACCTTTGTACTCAAGGTCCCCTCCCACCCTTCATGTACCTCACAGTCCCGCCAAACCAAACAGTACCTGCTCTCCAAGCATACACCTTGCATGGTTCTGTTTCACCTCTGTATGCTCAGATGATAGAGTCAAAGTGAAGCTGTCCTTCGCTGGCTATGTGGCTTTTGGGCAGGTCATTTCACCTCTCTGAGCCTCAGTGTCTGCAGATATAAATCATGGATAATAAGACTCACCTCGAATTGTTTTCATAAAGAATGAAATTGACTTAGATAGCATATGCAAAAATACCTGGCTCCCTGCCTGGCGTGTGGTGGCTCCCAATCATTATTTGGATCTAAACATTGGCTCCTGCCATGCCTTGCTTCTTGAAACCTCATCCTTGAAAAATATGTGTGTGCCCTTTCTTCAAACCAGCCCAATGTGTAAACCGAAGTTCACCTTCCTAATCTGCTCAGTAGCGTATATAACGCCAAGTCCAATGCCTTCTGTAGCTTTTCTTTTTTTAAGCGATAGAAACTAACTCTGGCTAACTTCAGCTTGGTTTGGTCTTTTATTAAAGAAATTTACTAGGGGCGCCTGGGTGGCTCAGTTGTTTTAAGTATCCACCTTGGGCTCAGGTCATGATCTCAGGGGTCCTGTGATGGAGCCCCACATCATGGGGCTCCCCCCTCAGTGGGGAGTCTGCTTCTCCCTCTCCCTCTGCCCCCCCCGCTCCTGTGCACATGCACTCTCTCTCTTAAATAAATATATAAAAATCTTTAAAAAAAAAGAGAAACTTACTAGAAGGATATATAATAACTCACAAAACAAAAATCAACAAACCAATAAGAAGCAAAAGTTGGCTTTGGAATATAGTCAGCTCTCCTGTGGCCCACAAGAGAAATCTATTTTCTTGACCCCTTAAAGTTAGGTCCCACTGTGTGGCACTCTGGCTGATGAAGCTTGAGCAAAAGTGAAGTGGTATGTTCTAGGCAGAAGCTTTGGCAGACAGTGGGAGATTCACCGGGGAAGTCAGTGTGTTTTCCCCTGGCAAATGTTCAAGAAATTGGATGGAGCTTCTCTCAACTACCATCAACTCGATCCTCCACACTGAGCAAGGTTAGGGTCATTCCAGCCCCTGATGACATGTAGCCTGATCAAGAAATAAACCTCGGTTGTTCTCAGCTCCTGAGACTTGGGGCTTGGTTGTGAACACAGCACAACCTAGCTGATCTGAATGATGAAAACGTACATACCATTCATTTCCTCTGCTGTTGAGCAGAATGACTTCAGTAAGCCAATATTAGAACTCCCTTTCACAGAGTGAATGGATGGCACCAGGACAGTAGAGACAGAACTCTTGTCTCCTATCTAGCAAATAGATTTCCCCATTTTGGCTTTTACCTGTCAATAAAAAGTAAATCGGTAGCAATCGGAGGTAAATCTCCAGACAAGACCAACGTGGTAACAAAGAGGAACATTATATACTTATAAAAAGAGCAAAAGATTAAAAAATAATAATGCCATGACCTTATGGAATCTTGCATTGGAAAGGTTCTCACATGGGAAATCAGGAAATACTTAGAGCTGAAACAGCAAAATCTGGCAGATGGAATTAAGCAATACTTATATGAAAGATTGTATCTTCAATATACTTCTCCAAAAAGAAGAAAAATTAAAAACAGATGAGCTACATGTTCAACTCAAGAAGCTAGAAAAAAAGAGCAAGAGAGTAAAGTCGGGAAGAAAGGAAATGATAAAAGATAAATGCCAAACATTTGTTTATATTTATGTGCTGCTTCTTTACTGCTAAGGATTGAATTGTGTCTCCCCAAAAAACCATATGTTAAGACCCTAACCCCCAATGTGACCATGGCCAGAGATCAGGTCTTTGGGAAGTAATTAAGGTTAAAACGAGGTCATGATGGCGGAACCCTGAGCAGATAGGACTGTGGCCTCATAAGAAGTTGAAGAATTATCTCTGTTTTTTCATTTACCCCGCCAGGTGAAGACGACCAGGAAGAACATGCTGGCACACTCATCTCAGACCTCCAGGCTCCAGAACAGTGAGAAAATACATGTCAGTCCTTGAAGTCACCCACTGCGGTATTTTGTTATGGTAACCCACGCTAAGACATAGATCTTTCATGGTTTGTAAATAGGCTCTGGTACCAATTCTGATGTATGTTGCGGTTGGAGAGAGGGTCCCACACCAACAACCAGTTTTCGGCCACCAGCTCAGTGTCCTACAATCAACTCAGTTCTGACACTGTGTATCCAGGTTTAGCACCGGATCCCACAGGTTAGGGGCCACAAGATTGCTCCCACTGCAGATGCCAAGGTCAAGTCAGGTTGTCACCTTTGCTTATGACCCACTGGCTGTAAGTCAGAGGTTCCCAAGACCCCTCTCCTCAGACTCAATTAATTTGCTAGAGCAGCTTACAGAACTCAGAGAAACATTTTACTCACTAGACTACTAGTTTATTATAAA